ATGCTGCCAATTGGTCCAGTGGTGAGAATGTTTGTCTTCTTGGCATTGAGCCTCAATCCATACTGAAGGCTGCAGTCCTTAACTCTCTGCAACAAGTGCTTCAGGTCCTCCTCAGTTTCAGCAAGCAGGGTTGTGTCATCTGCATAACGCAGATTATTAGTAGATCTTCAACCAATCCTGACACCACACTTCTCATAGAACCCAGCCTCTCTGATAATCTGTTCTGCATACAGGTTGAAAAGGTATGGAGACAGGACACAGCCCTGGAGTATGCCCTTCCCAATTTTGAACCATGCAGTGTTTCCTTGCTCTGTTCTGACAACTGTCCCTTGGTCCAAGTATAGGTTTCACATTAGCATGATCAAGTGTTCTGGGATTCCCATTCTTCTCAGAGTCAGCCGCAGTTTGTTATGATCCACACAGTCAAAAACCTTTGCATAATCAATGAAACACAGATATACATTCCTCTGGTATTCCCTGCTTTCAGCTAAAATCTATCTAACATTAGCTACAATATCCCTAGTACCATGACCCCTTCTAAACCTAGCCTGGACTTTGGGCAGTTCTCTGCTGATGTGCTGTTCCAGTCGTTTTTGGATAATTTTCAGTAGAATCTTGCTTGCATGTGAAATCAATGATATTGTTCTAGAGGAAATCCCCTTCTATTCTTTTTTTAAAATGTTTAAATTAGAAATAGGTGTTGGATTTTGTCAAAGGCCTTTTTGCATCAATTTATAGGATCATGTGGTTCTTATTCTTTGCTTTGTTAATATGATGAATTACTTTTGTTGTTTTTCTTCTGTTTAACTAAACTTTCATACCAGTTATGAATTCTATTTGATTATAATAAAAGGTATTATAATGAAATGTGTAAAGAGCTGGAGTCAGAAAATCAAAAGGGCTGAACTCACTCAGCATTTCTTTAGGTGAAGGAACTGAAGAACAAATTCAAACTTGGAGTTGCAATACTTAAGGATGCTTTGGGCAGAATATTAAATGATCCAGGAAACATTAAAAGAAGATGGAAAGAGTATAAAGAGTCAAAGTACCGAAAGGAATTGGCAGACACAGAAGAATTTAATGAAACAATGTATGAGCAAGAGCCTGTGGTAATGAAGGAAGAAGTTTAAGATGTTCTGAAAGAACTTGCAAAAAACAAGGCTCCAGGAATTGGTGACATACCAATTGACATATTTCAACAGACAGACACTGCCCTGGATGTGCTCACCAAGTTGTGTCAAGAAATCTGGGGGACGACCACCTGGCCTACTGATTGGAAGAGATCTGTATTTGTTACCATTCTAAAGAAAGGTCACCTGACAGAGTGTGGAAATTCTCGAACAAGATCATCACATGCAAGCAAGATTCTGCTGAAAATGATTCAAAAATGACAAGAGCAGCACATCAACAGAGAACTGCCAGAAGTGCAGGCTGGGTTTAGAAGAGCCTGTTGTACTAGAGATATTATAGTTAATGTTAGATGGATCTTGGCTGAAAGCAGAGAGTACCAGAGAAATGTCTGTCTGTGTGTCATTGACTATGCAAAGGCATTTGACTGTGTGGCTACCACACACTTGACAGTGTGATAACCACTGTGGCTAACTCTGAGGGTAATAAGAATCCAAGATCATTTGATTGTGTTTATGTGAAGCCTATACTTGGATCAGGAGGCAGTGGTCAGAACAGAGCAAGGACACACTGCACAGTTCAAAATTGGGAAGGGTGTATGCCAGGGATGTGTTCTATATCCATATGTTTTCAATCTATATGCAGAACAGATCATCCAGGAGTCTGGGCTCTGTAAGTAGGAGTGTGGCATCAGGATTGGAGGAAGATCCATCAGTAATCTAAGTTATGCAGATGACATAACCCTGCTTGCTGAAACTGAGGTGGACCTGAAGCACTTGCTGCAGAAGGTCAAGGACTGCAGCCTTCAATATGGATTAAAACTCAACAACAAGAAAACAAAGATTCTCACCATTGAGCCAACTAGCAGCATCATGATAGATGGTGAAGTGATTGAGATTATTAACAGCTTTAGTTTGCATGGCTCCACAATAAACACTCTTATTACCAGCAGCCAGGAAATCAAAAGACAAATTGCACTGGCAAAGTCTGCTGTCAGAGACCTCTCCAGAATACCGAAGTGCAATGACATCAGTCTGGAGACTAAGGTGGTGTGACTGACCCAGGCCATGTTGTTGTTGTTATGTGGCGTCGAATCACTTGCGACTCATAGCGACCCTATGTACAACAGCCCTAAACTCTGCTCTGCCCTGTGACAATCGCACTGTCTCTGACACTCCCATCCTGATTATCCCAGTCACTGAATCAATCCACCTCATAGAGGGCCTTCCCCTTCTGTGCTGTCCCTCCACCCTCCCAAGCATGATGTCCTTCTCCAAGGACTGGTCTCTCCTCACAATATGTCCAAAGTATGTTAGACAAAGCCTCAGAATCCTTGCCTCCAAGGAGCCTCCCGGTATAACCCTTTCCAAGATGAATCTGTTTGTTTTCCTAGCAGTCCATGGTACTCTCAATACTCTTTTCCATCACCACGGCTCAAAGGCATCAATTCTCCTTCTATCCTTCTTGGTCATTGTCCAACTCTCTGATGCATAACAAGTGATTGCGAAGACCATGGCCTCTATCAGATGCACCTTAGTCTCCAGAGAGATGCTATTGCTCTTCAGTACTTTAGAGAGGTCCCTAACAGCAGACTTTCCCATGAAAACCCTATGTATCCAGGCCATAGTCTTTGCAATTACTTGCTATGCATCAGAAAGCTGAACAATGACTAGAGATGATAGGAAGAGAATTGATGCCTTTGAGCTGTGGTGCTGGAGAAGAGTGTTGAATATATCATGGACTAGTTCAAGAAACTGAAGAACAAATTCAAACCTAGAGTTGCTATAATCAAGGATGCTTTGGGCAGAATATTAAATGATCCAGGAAGTATTAAAAGAAGATGGAAGGAATATACTGAGTCATTGTATAGAAAGGAATTGGCAGATACAGAAGAATTTAATGAAATAACATATGAGCAAGAGCCTATGGTGATGAAGGAAGAAGTTCAAGCTGCTTTGAAGGAAATAGCAAAAAACAAGGCCCCAGGAATAGATGGTATACCAATTGACATATTTCAGCTAACAGATGCTGCCCTGGATGTGCTCACCAAGTTGTGCCAAGAAATCTGGAGAACAACCACTTGGCCAACTGACTGGAAGAGATCTATATTTGTTCCCATTCCAAAGAAGGGTGACCCAACTACAGTGTGGAAACTACAGAACAGTGTCATTGATTTCACATGCAAGCAAGATTCTACTGAAGATTATCCAAAAACGATTAGAACAGCACAGCAGCAGAGAATTGCCGGAAGTCCAGGCTGGATTTAGAAGGGGTCGTGATACTAAGGATATTGTTGCTGATGTTAGATGGATCTTGGCTGAAAGCAGAGAATACCAGAAGAATGTCTATCTGTGTTTCATTGATTATGCAAAGGCATTTGACTGTGTAGATCATAAAAAACTGTGGCTGACTCTGAGAAGAATGGGAATCCCAGAACATTTAATTGTGCTAATGCGAAACCTATACTTCGACCAAGAGGCAGTAGTCAGAACAGAGCAGGGTAACACTGCATGGTTCAAAATTGGGAAGGGTGTACGCCAGGGATGCATCCTGTCTCCATACCTTTTCAACAAGTATGCAGAGCAGATTATCCGAGAGGCTGGGTTCTATGAGGAGAATTGTGGCATCAGGATTGGTGGAAGATCTATTAACAATCTGTGTTATGCAGATGACACAACCCTGCTTGCTGAAACTGAGGAGGACCTCATGCACTTGCTGCGGAGGGTCAAGGACTGCAGCCTTCAGTATGGACTGAGGCTCAATGTCAAGAAGACAAAGATTCTCACCACTGGACCAATTGGCAGCGTCAGGATGGATGGCGAAGAGATTGAGATTATTCACAGCTTCAGTTTGCTCGGCTCCACAGTCAACACTCTTGGCACCAGCAGTCAGGAAATCAAAAAGCGTATCACGATGGGAAAGTCTGCTGTTAGGGACCTCTCTAAAGTACTCAGGAGCAACAGTGTCTCTCTGGACAATGCTCTAGAGATCAGTTGGGCAGCTACCCCACTTGTGTGTTTCTCTGAACGTCTGACTTCAGAGAAATGTCAGTTCAGAGCCTGTGAGGGCAATTTCTTGTTGGTAAGACAGGTCAAGGTGCTCCTGATTAAAGGCAAGTTGATTGCCTGGACTTGTAGACACCAGTGTGGAGCCAAATGGAGTGAGGCAACCACAGGGTTGGGGTGATCACAACGGCAGGTCAAACACTTGGGGGCCCTTGTTCAAACCTCTGCTGTCTAAGTGTGCTCACAGTTGGGGTCCTTACTCAAATTCCCACTGTCCATTTCTCACCCAGTTATTTTCTCAGTGTTCCCTGTCCAGTGGCACTTATGCAGGTGCCCTCACACAATAACCCCTGCTCCAGTAGGGTTCTGGATCCAACAGGACCTAAAAAGTCAAGGTCAAATTCCCACTGACCCACTAGCCCCTGGCTGGTCTGCAGTCAGTGTGGCCCAAGAGAGCTTGGCCAAATTCCCCACCAGTGGGCACGCCCTTGGGTGCTCTCTCAGGTAATCAGCAGTGCCGCAAAACCCCAGTCAGGATCCTACCAGCCTTTCTCCTGCCAGATTAGTTCCACAACAGCTCAGCTAGTGACTCCAGGTGATGGCTCGATCCAAGGCAGTACCCTGGGGTCACAGGGCTCTGGTGGGGGCTGAGGTGCATGGTTGTGGAGCTGCAAGAGGGGGCAGGGGAAGGAGGAGGAAGCATGAGGCTGGGGTGGGGGGTACAAGAGCACAGGGCTTGGACACTACAACCAGGAGGCAGAGTGTGGGGCTTGGTTGCTGCTGGGGGTGTATACAGTGGCACCCTGTGTGGTGGGGTCACACAGGCACGGCTGCAGGGGAGTCACACAGTGGCAGACAGTCGTGGCTCCTCTGGGATCAGAGGTGGTTGCTCCTCTGGGGTTCTGTGGTGGCTGGCAGACAGTTGCTCCTCCAGGGTCTCTTAGAAGCTGGGGGCGGTCGGTTGCTCCTCTGGAGTCACAGGGTGGCAGGCAGTTGCTTGCTCCCTACTTGCTCCTGGTGGGTGGGTTTCACAGTGGCTTGGCTGGTGTCTTTTGGCTGGGACTCAGCTGTCTTGTGTGTGGTTCAAATTCTAGCTCTCTGGCTCGAAAAAGGAAGGATTTAAAGGGAGCTCTGGTGGCCTAGTGGTGAGAAGCTGCACTGCCAGCCTGATTTTTTTATACTAACATACCAGAACTCCTTGAAAATAGTGATATTGTTAGGTGCCATCAAGTTAAGTACGACTTGCAGTGATTTCATAAACAACAGACTTGAACTCTGTCCTATCCTGTGCCATCCTTATAATTTCAGACACTCTTGAATCCATTGCTGCAGTCACTGTGTCATCTCTAGTTGAGGTTCTTTCTCTTTTTCAAAAGAAAATTATAATAGTGCCCATTATTTTCCATACAGATAATGAGAAGGAGTGGGGGGATCAAAATAGACTGATAGGTGACAGGACAATGAATGACCTTTTTTAAAATTTATTTTAGGTTTAATCACCCTGAGTGACTGGGCAACAGCTGTGGAGTCTGTGTTGCATCTAGGACTGCCATGGCGGATGCTGAGGCCTCAACTGGTGAGCAGCTTAACAGAGAACATGCTGGAGTACAAGTCCTGGCTGAAGGACTTGGCCAAAGAACAGCTAAGCCGGGAGGTAATGAGATGATTGTAGTGTGTGAGCACGTATTGAGGACCCTGAAGGACCCTATGAACTTTGAATCAGAAACAACAACCAACTAACTGAACGTTCTGGATGGAGAATGAGTGCCAAAAGGAAAGAAATGTTTATTGATTTTGTTTTTGGCAGATTTCATACTAAGCAATTAACTTATGTTGCCTTAGTTTTAAAATCTTTAATATCTTCTCAAACTGGTGGGCTTAGAGAAGTTACGTAACAAGGCAGGGACCATTCAGCTTTTTAGTTGTAGAATAGAAACTCAGAACAAATCTATCTAGCTTCGAGACCCGTTTCCCCTCTTGACACCAATGCTGCCTCTCTTATTAAAAAGTGTACTTATTTAATAAATATTGAATGTGTTATGTATGCAAGGTCTTGGATTAAGCACTTCTTAAACCATTAGCTTCTTTGGTAAACTGAAAAGAATGTGGTAATAAGGGTGGAATGTTGTTGTTATGTGACATTGAGTCTCTTGTGACTCATAGCGTACAATAGCTCTGAGACCTGCTCTATCCTATGCCAACCTTATTGTCCCTGACACATCTACTACCCTCATTGAGGGTCTTCCTCTCTTGTGCTGTCCCCCCACCCTTCCAAGCATGATGTCCCTCTCCGAGGACTGGTTACTCATTGCAGCATGTCCAAAGTATGTCAGATGAAGCCTCAGAATCCTTGTCTCCAAGGAACAGCCTGGTATTACCCTTTATAGGGTTGGAATATCTTCCTTTATTTCAAGAGTTTTTTTGTCAGAGTTGATTGTGTGTTGATTAAGAGGTTAAGATAAAACCCCACGTATGATATAAAAGAAGATTAAGTTTGTTTGTTTGGTTTTGCTTGCAGAATATACAGTCAAGTTTGCTGGAGACCCTGTATCGAAATAGATCCAACTTAGAGACCATTTTTAGGATCATAGACAGTGATCATTCAGGTAAATACACTCATTAGCTTGTCTTTTCTGACAGTTAATGTGCTAACTTTACCTTCTTCAGTATTCTTCCTGATGCTTTGACTCTCCACTTGTTGTCATGTTTATAAATAGAATCACTTAGAAAGGCACTTGAACTATACAAGCAACCCCTGTTGTTGTTATGTGCCGTCGAGTCACTTGAGACTCATAGCGACCCTATGTACAATAGCCCTAAACCCTGCTCTATCCTGTGCCAATTGCACCGCCTCTGACACACCCATCCCCATTGTCCCAGTCATCGAATCAATCCACCTCATCGGGGGTCTTCCCCTCCTGCACTGTCCCTCCACCCTCCCAAGCATGATGTCCTTCTCCAAGGACCTGTCCCTCCTTACAACATGTCCAAAGTATGTCAGATGAAGCCCCAGAATCCTTGCCTCCAAGGAGCAACCTGGTTTAACCTTCTCCAGGATGAATCTGTTTTTTTTTTCTTGCAGTCCATGGTACTCTCAATACTCTTCTCCAGAACCACAACTCAAAGGCATCAATTCTCCTGCTATCCTCCCTAGTCATTGTCCAACTCTTTAATGCATAACAAGTGATTGCAAAGACCATAGCCTGTATCAGATGCACCTTAGTCTCCAGAGTGACACCATTGCTCTTCAGTACTTTGGAGAGGTCCCTAACAGCAGACTTTCCCATGGCAAAACGTCTTTTAATTTCCTGCCTACTGGTGCCAAGAGTGTTGACCATGGAGCTGAGCAGACTAAAGTTGTTAACAATCTCAATCTCTTCACCATCAATCCTGATGCTGCCAATTGGTCCAGTGGTGAGAATCTTTGTCTTCTTGACATTGAGCCTCAATCCATATTGGAAGCTGCAGTCCTTGACCCTCTGCAGCAGGTGCATCAGGTCCTCCTCAGCTTCATCAAGCAAGGTTGTGTCATCTGCATAACGCAGATTGTTAGTAGATCTTCCACCAGTCCTGACACCACACTTCTCCTCATAGAGCCCAGCCTCTCGGATAATCTGTTCTGAACACAGGTTGAAAAGGTATGAAGATAGAACACATCCCAGGCGTACTCCTTTCCCAATTTTGAACTATGCAGTGTTTCCTTGCTCTGTTCTGACTACTGCCTCTTGGTCCAAGTATAAGTTTCGCATTAGAATGATCAAGTGTTCTGGGATTCCCATTCTTCTCAGAGTCAGCCACAGTTTGTTATGATTCACACAGTCAAACGCCTTTGCATAATCAATGAAACACAGAAAGACATTCTTCTGGAATGAAGACAAAATGAATGAAAGCAATGGGCTCCCTTATAGAAAGATTAATTATTAGAAGACCTTGTATCACATATGATCATATCAGAGTAATGACAAATAAAGAATACCCAGAACACAAAGGCTTCTGCAATCTCACACCTATGTATTTTTAAAAGTTTATTTTGAAATAATTATACAGGAAATCACAAACATGCAATGAAGTCCTATGTACTCTTCATTTTGTTTTTTCCCAAAGGTCCGAGGATTTTTGTTATTGTTATTATTCTTCTTAAATAATGTATAATCCACAAGCCATTATCATTCACCAATTTAAAAGACATAGTTTGGTAGCTTTTAGTATATTTACACAATTGTGAAACTTAGAACCACTATCTGATCTTGGGACATTTTCATCATCCTCAAGAAGAAACCTCATACCCACTGGGCGTCACTCAACTCTTTGCTTCTATCCTCCACCCCTCGCAGCCACTTTTTTGCCTATTAATTTGCCTATTGCAGATGTTTCACATTAACTAGAATCACACATTGTGACCTTTTGTGTCAGGTTTATTTCACTTAGTGTAATGTTTCAGTTAGTGTAATGACAATTTGAAAAGTCTCCACACATTACCAAATGTGTTCTGGGGTGGGGCACAATTGCTCCCAGTTGAGAACCCCTGGTGATCAGTGAGTTTTTGGTCATCCCCTTGAAAGTTTAAATGAAGCAGTAGGAAATCTGTGGAACTTTCTGTTGACTTTGAGCATCTTCATCGGGTAGACAGTAGGTAACAGCAGATTACCTGAGCAGGCCGACTCAGGGAAAATGAACATTGAATACTTGTCTGACTCACTGATATGCCTTCCTCCCTGTGGAAAGGGTTCATCTCACTGGATGAATTCAGGCAGACCTGGAAGCTGTTCAGTTCTCACATGAACATTGACATCACGGATGACTGCATCTGCGACCTCGCCCGGAGCATTGACTTCAACAAGGACGGTCACATTGACATCAATGAGTTCCTGGAGGCCTTCCGCCTAGTGGAGCAGTCCTGCTTGGAGGGAAGTGCCTCGGATTGCCCACAGGCCACCGACACTGATGACAGTAGCTGCAGCAGGCCAGGTACACACTGAGAAGAGCCTGATTTTAGAGGAGAGCAAAACAAAATAGAACAGCCTGATCTTCATTGCCCAGGGTGCCTCATGTGCAATATTGAGCCTCCTGCTAGAATATTTCCCCTAATCCTTGTTGATTTATAGAACTTGATGTTGAGGATTTTTGTATCAGAATCTCCTGTGTACTTCCCCCCCTTCTTTTGGTGGTGGGGGCTGTGAGTGTGTCCCAGTCTCATCTGAGAATCTTCACAGGGTAGAAGCCAGGTATAAGTAGTTTTTTAAATTCTGAAGTCCACCACAGTTAACAACTACTATAATTAAACCCCTCTCATGTTTTCATTTTGTGTGTTATTTATTGTTTTAAATGTTTGATATTGGTAAAATAAAGTTATAAAAAATATTTGTATAATCCCATCACCCAAACATATGGATTGTTCCTGTTGTTGCCTTTTTATTACTTGTTCCTACAGGGTTGATGTAATTTATGTTCTGATTTTTATAAACTCCCATAGAATTGGAACCACTTCCCCATACTGTTGCACAGTACTCATAATTACCTGTTTAATAATGGCTTCATACTTTTCCTGCAATGTTTTTCTTTCTAGAATGTATTCAGCCATTCTCTAGTTTTTACTGGAGAAATATTGCATGTTTTTAGTTTTTCATTATCATAAATAACATGCTATTTATAACTTTATGCAGGTGGTGTGTTTAGAAAACCCAAAGCTTTTCAGTTATCTATTTCCATAGGATGCTCTTCAGGAATCAGCTCCTTTATCCAAGCATGTGTTTGTATGACTTGACACCTATTGCCAGATTGCTTTTCAGAACTGAATTAATCCATTTTACTGGAAACTCACCAGCGCTAAGTGAGATTATTTCTAGTTTTTACAAGAGGTGGACAGTGGTGTTTCATTGTGTTTTAATGTGCATTCCTTTGGTTAATATTTAAGTGTCTCTCTTAGCTCATTTTATTTGTAAACTCACTGAGGTCCAGAGAACTGTGTCTGTGCCCTAGTTAGCAACAGAGTCTAGACTGGAACTTGGGGTTACTGGCCTCTGGGCTTTATGATTTTGTGTAATTCTATCCCCTATGAGTGCAGGTAGGATCTGTGATGTGCTTCTAGCCAATTATGGCAAAAATGATGGGTGTCACTTGGGTGACTAGATTTCATTAAATGACAAGGATAACCAATGCCACTCTTGCATCATTTATAAAACTCAATGCCAGCAGACTGAAGTGAAAGGTTCTCCTTGCTGGCTTGATAAGCAAGCAACCAATCTGAGGAAACCAATATGGGCTTATTGGTGACTTATAGGCTCTTCAGGGACCCCTAGTGGCTTAGGGTGTTACATGTTGGGCTGCTAACTGAGAGGTTAGTGGTTTGAATCCACCAGTCACTTTGGGAGAGAAAAATGGGACCCTCTCTTCCTGTAATGATTTCTAGCATGAAAAACCTGCTGGAGTGTCACCATGAATTGAAATTGGCTGGATAGCAGTAGGTATGGGATCTGTGGACAGCTTCCTAACCATGACTGCAAAATCTGAGCTTTCTGTCTCACAGCCATAAGGAAATACTACATTTCTTCAAACAGCCTGAATGATGCTTCCCTGGTTGAACCTCTAGATGAGAATGAAGACTCACCTTCAAACTGTGGCTGTGAGACTCGGAGCTGAGGACTCAGCTAAACCAGGTTCCTGAATCAAGGAAGCTGTGAGGTAAAAAAAAAATAATAAAAGAAATTTAAAAAAATTGGATTATTTCCAGCCACTCCGTTTGTGGTGAAAGAACGCCTTGTAGTGAGATGGGTTTACACTCAGCTGTGAAGCGGAAACTTGACAGTTTGAAACTACCCAGTGACTGCAAGGGAGAAATGACCTGAAGATGTGTTCCCATAATGATTCCAGCCTAGGAAACCCTGTGAGTTGCTATAGTCAGAATCACTTTGGCAGCATCGAGCAACAAGTTTGTGGTAATTTGTTACACAGCACAGAAATTAGCTACAACATGGTGCTTTGACAAGGCTTTAATTTTTTTTTTTAATTCACCACTCAGAAAAGTCTGAACTTCCATCAGTGGTTATAATCAAGCAAAACGTCAAAATAATTTTGGGTAAGGTTTTTGCGTGTTCCTTGGATTTATTAGCAACTGAGACCAAATAAAGGTAGTGAGTATATTGCTTATATCTGTTTAATCTGTCTTCTGCAAACAGCTACAATTCAACAAATCAATTCCTTATTTTCTCAACATCCTCCCCATTCATTATAATTAAAGGTCAACAAATATTCTAAGACTTCATCAGTGCTAATTACAAAGAATAGCCCAGGGACAGCTGGGTTAAAGCCCTGGAGATTGAGTCATGTAAAGGAATAAAGAGAGGGAACTTCTCATGTAAGGCCAACAAGGGCAAATGAGGCTTATAATGGCAAAATTCACAAAGCTGCGAAAAGGAATGTGATTCGCTGGTTTATATGACTCTTGGGTTATCAGTTCAGATTTAAGTGGTTGTAGTGTATAGGCAGCGTCATGATGGATGGAGGGGAGATTGAAACTGTCAATAGCTTGGCCTTGCTTGGATCTACAATTAACAGCACCTTGGTACCAGCAGTCAGGATATAAGGAGATGCATTGCAGTGAGAAAATCTGGAGTTAGGGACCTTTCCAAATTATTGGAGAGTAATGATGTCATTTTGAGGCCTAAGGTATGTTTGATTCAGGCCATGGTCTTTCTGATTACTCGCTATGCATCTGAGAGCTGGACAAAGAATAAGGATGACAAAAGAAGAATTGCTGCCTTTGAGCTGTGGTGTTGGAGAAGGGTACTGAATATCCCATGGACGGCCAAGAGAATGAACAGATATGTCTTGCAGAGGGTGCAGCCAGAGTGCTTTTTGGAGGCAAGAATGATGAGGCTTCGCCCCACATACTTCAGGCATGATGCTAGGAGGGGCTCTTTCTTGGAGAAGGACATGAAGCTAGGAAAGGTGGAGGGTTGGTGAAGGTGGGGAAGACTATCAAACAGGTAAAATTGATGCGGTGACTGATGCAATGGACTTGTGTGTGTCAGGAAGTGTGGGGATGGTGCAGGATAGAACAGGGTTCAGATCTTTTGTTCATGGGGTGGCTATGAATCATATTCTACTCGATGGCACCTAACAAGTGGAGTTTGCTAGATATTCTGGTGGCATGTGTAATCCACAAGGAGTTGTGCTGGTAACCTAAAGGCCAAGCCCTCTCTGACGGTTTGAATCCACCCACAACTCCACAGACAGAGATGGGCAATCTCCTTCTGTGTAATTTACAGCCTCCAAAATCCCATTTGAATGCTGGTTTGAATGCAGTTAGATAAAGAGACTGCTGATCTTTCTTAAGTCTCTAGACTATGGTCACAAATTGATTATGAGGCTACTTTTCTGCTATTCTAACCAGTTTTCTACGGATTTTCTAAGCCCTGGTGGGGTAATGGACTAAGTGTTGGGTAGCTAACCAAGAAGTTAGCAGTTCCAATCCACCACCTGATCTGTGGGTAGAAAGTGGGACAATCTGCCCCCATTAAGATTTACAGCCTTGGCAGTTTGGTGTTTCCTTAAAAAGTTGAACATAGAAACTCTGTATAACCCAGCTATTCCACTGCTAGGAATATACCCAATGAAATTAGAACTGAGATAAAAACAGAGATTTGTACACCAACCAATGTTCATATTAGCATTATTCAACATCATAAGAACAGGGGAACAGCCCAAATGTTCAGCCACAACTGAATGGATTGAGATATTTTGGTACATTCACATAATGCAATACTACACAACACTCAGGAGCAATGATTTAAAAAAATACAACATAACATGGGAGGGACTAGAAAGCATTAATCTAAGTAAATTAATTCAGTCTCAAAAGGACAAATACTGCATAAGAACATTACTATAAAAATAGAAGCATAACTAGTAAAACATGTGTGGGGACCCAAGGAGGGAAGGAGGGGAGCAGAGAGGAGAGGACAGGTAAGGGTCAAACCATAGGGTTGCACAATTTGGTGGGTGGAGGGAGGGGGTAAAGGGAATGGGAAAGATCTGGTGGGGACCTGAAAAGACAGGGTAATGATTATAAAATTAATTTTCTAAAACAGACTGCGTGGGAATGATTGTATGAAACACAATGTGAATGAAGAATAGTGTGAAACACAATACATATGAACTTTGTAAGCAAACCAATATAAAAAAGCTTTTAAAAACTGAAAATAAAAAATATTTACAGCCTTGGAAACTTGGTGGAGGGTAGAAATGAATCTGAGTTGAACAAACTTGAATTGATAGCAGTGCTTTCTGGAAAACAAATTCTCTTTTCTTTCCTTTGAGGCCTCACTGCTTGCTGTCATACATGTGTCAGGCTCAGTGTCCTTCAAGTTCTGTGAGAAAATTTCCTTTATCTGTGAACCAAGTGGATCAGTGGTAAGCTTAGCCTGAGTACTGTCTTGAAAGGAATCTTAATATAAAAGAAATCAGAACTCTGTACTTGTAAAAATGAGCAATTAAAGTCCCTAATCCAGTGAGTTAATCTTAACTGCAAATTAAAATCATCTAGGGATCTTTTAAAGAAAAAAACATAACCCTTTTAGGCTCCAATTCGGATAAAATTAATATAATCTCTAGGTGATGAGCCGTGATATCAGTATTTTAAAAATACTTCCCAGGTGATTTTAATGTGGAGCCAGGCTATTGCACCACAGATCTAGTTGGTTTACCTCTCTGTCACTTTCATCATTGCCATTCAGTCATAGCTGTTCCTACAGCAGGTTTTCAGAGGCTGTAAATGACATGAGATTGTCCATTTTCTCCTGAGAACAGAAGGTGGGCTTGAAGTTCCTGGCACTGCAACTCCTTACCCCTGGATCACCAGAACTCCCTACCCTTCGATTGTTGTTAAGTGCTGACCAGTCGACTATGACTCATATGAATGATGGCTCTGAACCATGTCCTAACTTCAGTCAGCCTCATTACCTGACACACCTGACCCCATTGCCATAGTCACTCTATCAGTCCATTTCATCAAAGGTCTTCCTCTCTTGCACTGATCTTTCACCCTTCCAAGTATGATGTCCAAGGACTGGCTCCTCCTGGCAACATGCCTCAAGTATGTGAGAAGGAGCTTAAAAATCTTTGCCTCCAAGGAGCAACCTGGTTTTACTCTCTTCAGGATAAACCTGTTTGTCCCCTTTGCAGTTATGGTATGCATGTTCAATACTCTTCTCCAGCGCCATATCACAAAGGCATCAATTCTTCTTCTGTAATTCTTTTTCATTGTCCAGGTCTCAGCTGCATAGCAAGCAATTGAGAAGACCATGGCCTGGATCAGGTGCACCTATCAGGTGCAGAAACCAAACATTTTTATATTTAAATGTGTAAACAGCTTAAATATGTCCCAAAGAGTATTAACAGGCCCAAGACATCCGGTTGCAGACAGATTAAAAGCATATACTTATCCAAAAAGTAGGTACCTGGATGGTGTAAATGGTTTGCACTTGTTTGTGTACTAAAGGTTGATGATTCTAGCTTTCAGTGGTACAGAAGAAGAAAGGCCTGGCCATCTGCTTCTGTAAAGATTACAGACAGTGGCGAGCTCTGGTGGCCTAATGGCAAGAAGCTGCACTGCAATCCCAGAGGTGTGTGGTTCGTATCCACCAAAGATCTCCTGGAGAAGGAGGGACAATCTCCTCCTGTACCAGTCGGATTCAATTTGATGGTACACAAAAAATAATAAAATAAATTTTTAAAAAAATTTTTAAAAAAATATTACAGACAGCAAACTCTATAGAACAGTCCTACTCTCTAGCATATTCATTCACCAGATATTGGAATTTATTTAAGTACCTCAGCTATGGAGTTGTGTGTGTGTTCTTAAAAAATGAGTAATTTTTAAAAACTAGAATTAGAATTTACTTTGTTACTGCTGTTTGCCATTAAGTCAGAACAGACTTGTAACTAGCTGACCCAGTAGCGGGTTTTCAGAGGCAGTGTTTACATAAGAGGAGATTGTCCATCCTTCTCCTGCAGAACATCTGGATTCGAACCTCCTGACTTTATGATTTCAGCACTGCTTCTTAACCCCTCGGCCACCAGGACTCCACAGAATTGACTTTACTCTCACTCACTTTTTAAAAAAGTTGAGACACATATATTGATTAGAAATTGATATAAATACCATTCTACTATTTATTGCCATCATGCCAAAACTCACTCATTGCTGACACTCCAGTGGTTTCTAAGGATATAAATTTTAAGAGAGGAGAATTTTCATCCTTCTCCCTTGTTGCTGCTGTGGGATTCGAACCACTAGAATAGCTCAGCCTTTGAGTTAGCAGTGCAACTAACTCCCTACAGACTGGGTCATGAGAACTTTACATCAATATCTTTCTTTTTAAAATGTGTCTGAATCAGTCAATTCAACTGGAGTTTCCCATATGCAAATTTTCTATCCCCCTTAGATTTTATACTTGTATATTCAGTTATTGTTGTTGAGTACCACTGAATTGAAACTGAATCAAAGCTTACTTGACAGTGGGTTATCAGAGACACAGGAGAAGATTGCCCATCGTTCCTCTGTGGAACAGCTCCTTGCCTAAATGAAGAGGGAATCTTAAATATTATATGTTCATACATGACAATTCTGTTGGTGATCT